CAGCTGGAGCTTCACACAGCGACAGCATCATCAGCAGCAGGCCTGTCAGCAGCTCCATCATGTAGAACAGGTGGTTGTGGGCAAACAGGTACGCTGCCAGCGCCTTTGGGTTTCGAGGATGGGTGAAGAACTTATCATTGTTCTCTCCCTCCTGTATGTGGAATTTAAATGATCCATTTAAACCACACAATGCAACCCTTTTGTAGCTTATTTATTGATTCTGAAAGATGCTGATTTCAGTAATGTCCTACCACGATGGAGCGGTACAGTCTGAGAAACACAATGCATTGGCGTAACTTAAATCTGACATACTGGTATGATGAAGCAGTGACACGTTTTACGGGACGTTGGTCCTCGTAGCTGCCTTGAAGTTAAGTGTTCAATGTATTGATATGTATTTTTTTTTTTTTTTTTTTTTTTTTTATTACTGTGAAACCTAATTTTTGAGTTATATGTATAACATTAATATGTTTAAATAAAGAAAAAAATTAAACTATTAGAAAATGTAATATTTGTGCTTCCCTACTTTATTTTGAAGTTCTTTGTGTCCTTATTGATTTATTACTTCTAGCAGTTGTTCATGACGCAAGTATACACACATTGAAAGAATCCAAAGTTTAACCATCTACAGGGAATACAGTGTGGAGGGTGTAATAAAAACCATTACATGACCATAGAAACTCAGCTGCCCTGTACACTCAGTAACTAACAAATGCCACAGTCCACTGCTTGTAACTACCTGCAGGTAGATAGCTGCCTCTTGGTAGTTCATCTCCCAGCTTTGGCGTAAGGACACATTTTGGGCTCTGTGGTTTTGTGGCCCAGGTGTTGAGATCACAGCGTTGTTCACTATGTCATAATTGCCTCCTCGTCCATCTGGAAGACAACACGTTCAACACGAAGGTGTCAATGTTTTGATACAGCCTTTATGTGGATAAGAACAAAACATTTGAACTTCACTTTCCATATTCATCCTTTTGTATATGGGTAACACACACACACACACACACACACACACACAGCACATAGAGAGGTATTGGCCTACCAATGCAGTCTAGTTCTAAGGCATAGGAGGAGATCACTACTGGACTCCCGTTGTGGGTCTGATCTTCATGGGAACCAGCTGCCTGTACGCATATACACTCCATTGATCAGTATGGATTTGTGCACCAGCTGTGACAATGAATCAAGGCCACTGAAGTCCACAGCAGTGTGTGTGTGTTGGTGTCATCCACAGTGCCCTGGTGTTGTTCCAACTCCTACACACATCTGGAGATAAAGATGGCCAAACATTCCACTCCGGCCTGATGCAAACTCCAGAAACTCAGTCCAGAGGGGAGTCCTCACAGATTCAAAAGTATTCAGGCCAAGCTGCGGGATCGAAGTGACACTGGAGACGGAACACCGCTCAAAACAATTGACAATGCTTTTGAAGCGCAGTACTTATTTGACAATTGGTTTCTTCTTTTGGAAAAGAACATCTGTTAAAGAGAGATACCACCACCAGCGAGAGTGAAATGTGACCTACAAACATTAGCCTCCTGCCTTAGCCACAGAGTTTGAACTTTGAATCCAGTGTAGCCAGTCAGTGAGAAAATGCCGTGTTTGCAATGATATCACATTGTCTATTACGTCGCCTTCCTTCCACAGACAGGATACAGACACGAGAGAGATGAACCACAGGAGGAATTAATCCTGCGCTACAAGAGGGAGAGTGACTAACTTCAAAAGACAGGGAGGACATCTAGATATCCAAGAACACTGAGGAAGAAGTATGCCATTGCAAGACCTAATGGAGAATTATGGACTATCATTAAATGACACCGATACTGTAGGTTTAAGACCAAATAACTGTCTGCAAAATGAACTCAAAAGTTAAAACTGAAAATATTCAATCCAGATTAACTCAGTATTTTCAAATAACCTTGAATTACAGATTCAAGCAGGATCTCTCAAATATAAGTCACAGTTTCTTTTCTATGTGTCTATAATGTAGTCCTGTGTGAGTCTATCTAGGTGCTCTTCTCACAAACTGTTTCTGCTTCAAGCAGGACTCCTTGGAATAACACGTTGTGGAGACTAGATGACTCTCTGAAAGGCAGTCACAGATTGTTCCTGTCCACGGTGACGGCAGCCGATTGAGCTGAAGTGTGAAGATCAAATTCCAGTCCAGCGGCAGCCTGGCTGTTATCCTGACAAGAGTACACCCCTCGTCTGTCATGTGCCACTCCACCCCTCATTTGTCTGAGAACAATAACATGTTCGGAGCTCCCGGTTAAAATCACGGCGGGGTCAGGCTCACGGGAACACAAACAGGCTCAGCAGTCATGACCGTTTCCCCCAGGACAAATAAAATGTAGTTTTGTGGTGATCTGAAGGGTCCTGACCACTAGCAGTAAAACTGAACTCCACACTTCTATCCAAGCGAGTGGTTTGTCACTGAGGTGATACAATGCAACCTTCTTTCCCAGTGTCCCAGGTTCAAACTCCCTCTCTTTCCAGAACGCTCCAACAGCAATCAGCAAGAACAGTACGATACTTCCTCCTTGTCCACCATTCCCAAATATCCAGTGGAAAAAAAACTCCTCTCCTCTTCCTGTTCATCTCGAGAGCCAGAGAAAATGATCCCGTACGCTCACGAACACAGACACACTTACACACAGGCTGCAGACATTCACACACGGTACACACACACATGAGCACCAGGGAGGGGCTCAGGGGTGCACCAGTCTGCTGAGGCAGCAGTTTCTCATGGGTCATTTTGTAGCTTATATACAATGGCAGCAGGATTACTATGTTTAGTGGATGCATGGATACCCATACGTAGAGCACACACACACACACACACGTGATATCAGAGCCTCATGGACAATCTCTGCTCTCCATTAATGCAGTGTGGCCTAGACGTGCAGCATGTATGCAGCTTACAGTCAACAACATTCAGCATCTTCAGACTGCGCTAGTGCACATCTGGTAAGTAGACAAGCATTAACTTCATATCGCAAAATACATTGATATGATATAATATACAAAAATACTAAACACTCGTCAATAAACAACACTATGAAGTTCTATAAATACAAAACAGTGCATTATGGAGCCAAAGGATCAGAAAGGACCCATCATACAGAAGAACTCAACCAACCAGCCTATACACAGTTACCAGTTTAGTTAACAACTTCAGTGGAAAGTGTTTTAGAAAGGGGTTGATTCAAATGTATGCCATTTTGGAGGCTGTAGTTTGCTGTGATGTTGTCCAGCTCTATGTGAATGAGGGTGTACTAAGAATTAGAAACATCCATTGATAGAATACAATGCAACAGCACCACAAACTACATCTTCCACAATGACTTTAACGCTGAAAACAAGAAACGTACATTATAACCTTCATGAGGCTGGATATATTGCAATGCTGTTACATTCGTTTTAGCTGTGATTGACTGAGTGTGTTTGCTCACATTGATTTGTGCTTTAATTGTACATCTAGTACCATGCGAATCAAAGCCAATGGCCACAGTCATGGGCCTGTCCATAAACACATGGTAGTTTGCACAGCTCCACTGTGGCTGAGAATGACAGCAAGGACTTACTTTCGTCTCCTCGCTCAGTCTCCTCGTTGAGTAGACCGCTGTTTGCTTCGTCCCAGGTTAAGATGAGTGGCACATCGTCGTCAGACTCCATAACAGCAGACAAACAGGCTGCAACCAGCCTTGATTTAATTATGTTCAATTGGAGTTAATCTAAGCTACTCACGAGCTAAATAAGTGCGCGGTTTGTTCCGCAAACTGCAAGATAACTGCACATCTTGGGCGCTTGTAGCTGACGCTAACACGTTAGTTATTAGCAAACAACCCGGGTACTTTTGGGGGCTGTGCTAACTGAGGTGAGAGCTAACTAACGACACTCTGGTGAGACGTGCAAAACAGGAACTAACAGTTTTCAAGTGACTTGAAGCAGACGAGGTCTGCCGGGTGCAGAGTTGTTCTTAGTCCTGTCACAAACATTGATCCCCGACTCGACTGGCTCACTGTCACTCAGGCTAACAAGCCGAGACTGCCGCCGGTGTGTGTCCATTATGGCATCATCGCCGCACACGCAGCTTTCTGCAGGATAACAGATGTTATGCGTGTTCTGATTACATTTAACCAGTAACTAAATACACCAATTTTATATCTTGGTTAATCGTTCCATAAGCAACAATACCCGACACTTACAAAAAGACACTACAAAAGCTCTACAGATACTGTGTTTACAGCTGGATCAACAAACATTCACGACACTGAAGCAACTTACGGCATACTGAGTGAACGTTGCCAGAGTTTCAAAATAAAACTCAATGGATCTAAGGTAATGTTGTAAAACGCATGTCACATTAATGTATTTATTCATTCAATTAGTCAATGAAGATACTCATGCATGCATCCATTTATACAATGCATTATAAGCTAACTGAATTATGTGCCAGTGATTTGTAACCCTGATCCCCATTAGTGGTATCTTAGCAACAGAGCGAAACAAACATCTTCTGCTTGTGGCTAACTTTCACCTCGACAGGTAACTACGTAGCTTATCAACGTTGTATAACACATCTAATTCAACACAAGCTAAAGTAACTATCATGAACCTACAATAGGCTACATGTCACACACCATAACGTTACAGTGGTTGCAAATAGCCCATTTCTACAATAATACCTTCATACGGGGACACTCGGGGGTAATGATGAACCTGTGTTTTTTCCCTCATCTTTGCTATTTTTGTAAAATACTGGGTAGATTTACTCCTTCAGGCCTCATTGAATGTATTAGCTGATTGGACAAAAGAGGAAAAGGGTTGAGGAAGCACTAAATAATCTATATTGAACTGATCTTTACAAAGTTAGCTAAGTAAGTGGATACTATTGTAAGCCGATATCGGAAAGACACTGTGTATTTAACCTATACAAATGTTACAACATTAATGTTTTATGTTTAATTGCTTTCCTACCATCCAGTGACATTATGTCTGCAAAGGAGGCAACAGTGCTGGCAAAGACCCAATCAGAAGATTCTCAAAAGAACCACGAAGTGTCACAGAAGAAGCTGCTCTCTCATGAGGCTCAGTGCATCTCAAGCTTACTGGAAAACTGCATCGGTCAAGTGGAGATCGCAGCTACTCTGCCTGCTCTCCACAGTGTGTCCGATGTTGTGGACAAAGAATTGAGAGGGGCAATCAAAGAGCATCAAATATTAATTGGAAGACTGGAGACACTTGAAGGTCTCAAGCAGGAGTCAGATAGGGAACAAGAGGGAGAAGCTGGGGAAGCAAGAGCTCAGCTTGAGAAGGACATCAAGAACTCTGTCAGGGATCTGCTCAGGGTTGCCCGAGTCCATCCAGAGGCCATTTGTGGTTTGAGGGCAGAGCTAGGTATGAAAGTAGGGGAAAGTGAGTACATGCTCATTAAAGGACTTGAGAGGTTTCACAGCCATGTGGTTGAAAAGTTGCTGACTGGTCTGGATGATGAGGAGCTACAGCAGGTTCTCCACAAGCAGGTGTCTTTATCGCCTGACCACAATGCCATTGCTGTTTCACTGGAAGAAGAAGAAGAAGTAGCCGCAGCCATTAAGCAACTAGATGCAAAGGTGACGTACCAAATTGGATGTTGAAACATACCCTTACTTACAGTCTAGTCTACCACACGTATAACTTGCTTCAATGTGGCTATAAGAAAAAACAAAGACTTCGTTATTTTTTAAGCAAATCATATATTCTACTCTTGAACGTTTCCCTATCTTACCTCCCTTATCTTTCTGTTTGTATCACAGATTTCTTGCAATAATAATAAGCTAAAAAAATGCCAGCGTTCTCTGAAAGGGATCGCAGAAGAACCGGGTATGTCACTTCTTGCCGACAAGCAGTACCAGTCGCATATGAAGTCGGCAAAGATGAAGCAAACCGGTATACAACAGGAGATTGATCAACTGAACAGTCAGCTCAACGATTTGACCCCTAAAAACAGGCAGGCAGAGAGAGAAATCCAAGAGGTGAGTTTAGTGTATCATTTTATCAACGTTTCACAGTAAATGTACTGTCATGTTTCATTTTCATTAAAACCTATGTCACTATTACTGTTTTCTTTTCCTTGGCAGAAAAATGAAAAGTTGGTGGAAGAAATCGAATACATGCTCCAAATCTTTGACGATGACATGGGAAAAAAACAGGTACAAACTCATCCCCCACAAAGAGACAAAAGTATCTGGAAACAATAATTAAGTGTGTATCCTGTGGACACTGGTTCACTATATTCAGGGTGTTTAACAGGGCCGTCTGTTCTTCGCCCGCATCTCACAGTCCCTATTACCTGATGAGTTTGGTCTGTCTATGCATGCTTTTTCAAACTATATGAGTTTATGTCATACTGCTCAAAAGATATAATTTAAAACTCAATCTTCACATAAAAGAAGCGGATGTTTTCCATTTTTACTTTATTAGACAACTGTAATTTTGCCAATTTATTTCCTGTTGATCACCTAATCAATTTAACAAATGTTTTCTAGTTCAGTGGTGATCGGTCATTTCATACATCGCCTTCAGGCTGTCTCTGGTTTGAAATCCAGGACAGATGCCTTCAGTGACCTATTTAATCAGCAAGGCATTAGAGTATTTATACCTGCTATGAAATGATCAAGTAGGCCTATAAATAAGGCCTGTCTATGTTTACATTCACTACTCATTCTATCCACCACCATCTCTCACTCTTTCTCATCCTTTCGCACCTCGACACCATCACTGCCACCGTCACCTGTCTCAGGCCGACCTGGAGATGAATGCAATGGATTATGAAGGGGAGGAGGAGCTGCTGAGGAAGCTGGAGAAACCCTTTTCTGCCCTGGAGCTGGAGTGCAACGAGATCCAGGAGAAGCGTCGGCTAGCAGATGAGAAGAGAAGGGAGGAGATGCGGGAGCTGGAGTTGAAGACAAAAGCTGCTATTTTAGTCCAAGCCGTGTGGAGAGGCTACATCACTCGCAAGTCCTTAAAGAACAAGGGCATAAGCAAGAAGGCCAAAAAAGGCAAAAAGAAGACCAAACTAATTAAGTAACCTCATGGTGTCTTACTCTGGTGCTACACAGATAAACACCGTAGCTGTCGAACATCTTTTACAACAAAAACCCATACAGTCCATATTCCACGTGTGTCATTTATGTGTTGTTTTTAATAAAGTACTTCTTCTTTTAAACTAGTATTTACTATTTTTTTGAAGAACACATTATAAAGGATTGCAGCACTTTCTAACTTTTTTGTGATCAACATTTAATATACAGATACCTTCTTGCTGCAGACAATATCAAACTAATCATGAATGTTGGAACAGCTGCAGATAATGAACATGTTTTACTATTGGACACCCGCACAAATCTTCTGGCCTTTGGATTTGTTGCACATGTTTTGAGTGAGCAGCTTTATAATTCTTATAAGTACATGAATTTTAATGACCTCAGCAAATCTCCAGCATAGCTCTTAACTATAAACTGAAAACAGATCTGATCAGCTAAAATAAGATTCAACAGGGTCTAATGCATTGGGTGTACCAGTTGCTTTGCTCTTTAATGGCCACAGGGTGGCAGTATAGGACCTTATGTTCACAATGATCACTTGTCTACATTACATATCATTCATTTGTCTTGTGAACAAGAGGAGCTGGGGATTGAACCACCAACAGTACAAGTCATCTGATATTCTTACTAGATATGCAGTATTTATCAAGTTTAAACAAGTCAACCTCAAATGTACACTTACCATCAGCAACATTTCACAACTCATAATCAAGCCTTGTAAATTACAAAGAGGAGCTAAATGAACAAAAGTTGTTGATTGCTTCAGTGTCTTACGTTTATTTAAGTTAATTATCTTCAAGTTCAGGTTTAGTTTTACATGAGAACAACTACTAAATTAGTCAATGCTATAGTTCAGTGAATTCAGTTTTAAAGCAGCATGAAAACGTATGCTTACGCTTAAATTGAAGCATCTTGCGATGCGCAAGTTGAAATGTGCTTTATGGGCTTTGACTTGTCTTTTTCCTGTCCGTGATGTTTCTGTGAGGGAGTTTGATATTGTTTTAGTATGCCCTCATGGTCCTGGATGAACATCTTGACCTAAAGAGGAAACAGTAGAAAACCGTAAGTTGTTTGTTTTCTATCTCTGCGGTTCATCACCATCTCTGCTCAGTCAGGTTACACACCTTATCAAGCTGTTTCTCTGTGTCATTCAGATTCACAGGTTCGTCTCCTTCTACCATGCCACCTGTCATTTCATAGAGGTTAAGGGTCGCCACCTTAATCCGTGCCAGCAAGAGTGTTTTCTTTGCTGCTGTTTCCTGAATGTGGTTCCACTTCCTTTCCTGTGTGAAGACAGGGACAACTGAATTTCACACAAGACGGCAGCTGTATATTTAGGCAACATTTGATGTGGTGTAAGCTTTGATGCCCGACTTGTAATCAGGATCATGTCTGATACCCATGACAGAGCTTCAGAGCACGTCTTCTCCATCTCGGTCTGGAGCTGGGACAGCTGGTTGTTCTTCTGCAGCCGCAGCAAACGATGATCGTCCTCCAGTGTCAGCAGGGATTCTTTCAGCTGGTCGACCTGCTCGTGCGCCTTCATTTCTCTCTTGTAGAAATGGTCTTCAAAGTGGAGAAGACTCTCTATATGACCCGTGAGCTCCTGCACATCGTCAAACTGTAAAACACACAAACGTTAAAAGGTGTAGCTCATTATCTATTTAAAATAAGTCCATGACCACCTCTGCAAACACCTTAGAAATGACTGCACTTGTCTGGAATAAGACATGAACTGTAAAGAGACAGGGCCAGAGTATGTCTACTGTTAAGGCCATCATCGAGAGGCAAGATCCATCAAGATTTTAGGAGGCTTACCGCCATGACTTAACACTTCTTGTGCCACTTCTAACTAAATGAGAAACTTTAGAAAATGAGCTGCATCAATCTAAGATTTACCGGCAGGTTTTAAAATGTGGCTCGTTACATAGTCGTACAATCTTCAAATTCTGGGAACCTCTGTTTAAGTAAATGGCTCTTTTGATGATAGACTACATTAATAAATGTACGACAAACGAATTTAGATTTAGTTTCACTGCATGTAAAGACGTCCCTGCAGTACCTTAGTCATCGTGACCACCCGCACCATGAAGTCCTTATATACACTGTGTCTTTGTATCTGACGCTGCTGCTCCTGTTTCATCTCCATCAGCTCGGCATACACCAGCTTTAGCCTCTCTAGCTCTGCCTCCAATTGAATCACCTCTTTCTTCTCCTTCTCTGCTTTCTCAGCAGCTTGATCAGCGACTTCGTCCTGCAGGGAAGGAGATAAGAGGGGCTTAGTGTTGCTGCTTTTGTCCAGTTTCAGCCATGAAACTGAAATCCAATAACGTTACGTACAGTCTTGTACAGGAGTCTTGAGTGAAATGGTCCTCTACTGTACCTTCAGAAACGTATCAAAGCTTGAGTGTAAATCCCTCGCTTTCTTGATCTCCACATGCAGCTCATCTCTGCGCTGTTGCAAACTTTCGAATATCTACATAAAAACACACAGCAGGCAAAAACGACTTCAGAATATTTATGACGCATGCTCAGTCAGTTAAAATTACTCCTCACGATGTAGCAGTCTGTATTAATTCTCACAGATTAAGACAGGACGTTACACCTCGAGAAGTAACATTAGCGCTTGGTAACTTGTAGACAGTTGTGCCTCATTAGGGCCATTTCGGGCTTTTTAATCTGTCTTTTTTTAAATCATTTTAGCTGTGTAAATGCATATGAAACATACACATCCCTTTGAAACCACACTTTTTGATCCTTGGCCATTAGCGTTACAGCATAACATTGTGCATTATATTATAGGCTTTCAATCTAGAGCCCTGGCTTCAAAATAGTAGTTTTTATAAGTTTGCAGCAGATTGAACCATTTTCTAATGTTGTCCCTACTGGTCAAATATATGCTATTTTTCTGGTGTGTGTTTGATGCAACACACCAAAATCAATGTTGTTGCTATTGACGCATGCCAGACTGTGAAAAAAAAAAAATACTAAGCATTTAGTATACAAAATATAATAAAATATTTGTGTTGTTGTTTTCCCATAAGAACAATGGAAGAATTGTGTAAACAAACGAGCAATTAAGTTAAAATTCTGAAACAATGAATATTTGGCAACGTTAGTTATGATCAGGACTGAAGTTGGTCAAAATAATTAACTTTATAATATTACTACATAGTATAAAGAAGAGCTTTCTCACATTAGGCCAAACTACCTCGTGTGAAATAACGTGAAGAGTTGAGTAGCTACTTAGCTGCTACACGTGACACCGTGATAAGTAACGTTGGGAGGTAACTAACTAGTACCTGACTGCGCTCCTTGATCTTTGTTACCAGCTCTCCCTCTTCCCGGCGTTTCTTCTGCATATCAAAGAGGTCAAAGCTGCAGTCACGCAAGGGTCCTCCTGCCATCACACCGCTCAACCTCCTGTTCACACACGAGCATAGTGGGGGAGTTATTAACATCGACCGCTCGGGAGGACTCTGGCTGAGCTCCACACGCTCCACCACCACGGAGCACCGCTCCACCTGAACTCACTGTGGATCCGGCTCCTCACGGACGCTCCTGGACTTCATTGCTGTTTGTTGTCATCGTTTTCAGAGTCAAGTCAAGTTGGTCTATCTTGCTGTGGTTGGTAAACGTTAGCTACATTTCAAACTTTGCCCCCCTCGTTTCTATGGTAACGCAAACCAGGAACTTTTAAAGGCACAATCCGACATTTCAGTACAAAGAAAATCAACTTCCTTAATTTTTACTCAAGCTTTATTATGCTACGTTCACCCCAAACGCGAAGTGAATTTTTGCGTCGCGTTACTCGCTACAGTTTACCGTTTACTTGGAGGAGTTTACTCGCGCGCGGGATTTTACTCGCGGCAATTTACTCGGAGAGGGGGCGTGGCTTATCTCCATGAAAACCGTTATCAACCAAGCAGTTTACTTCCACCATCAACCATGGAGGGAATAACCTCTATTTCTGCTGTTGTGAAAGTCCCACATGTGCCGGGAAACTAAAGGCCGTCTGGTCTGGGTTCATAACATAGTCCGGAGGAGCTCCGTGGATTTCATTCAGCTGTATTCACTGTGTCTAGCAAGACGTCGGCTGGTTTACTACAGCTGTATGAACCCAAAATAAACAATGTTGCTGTGATTTCATTGCAATAAACGGATAGAAGTTGACGAAATAACTTCATAATAATGCAGATTTGTAAGAAGTCTGAATTCATTTTTGTTGCCTTTCAAAATCCTTGTCTCAATGGAGCTCGGATCGACCGGTGCTAAGCTTTGCTAACATTGTAGCAGGTCCATCAAAACAACTATATATATAGGTAAACAAAAGTTCATTAATCAAATAATCAATCAATTATTGCCAACTATTTTGACAACCAATTAGTCGTTTAAGGTAGTTTTCAAGCAAACACACCAAACATTTTTTGGTTCTAGCTTTTCAAAGATCCCCTCCAGCCCTAATATCAATACACCATCACCAATGGATTATTGAGCAGGCAAAACAGGCAAAGGGTTGTGGGCCCCAAAGCCACAGCCTTCCATTTTTTTTGCTTCCAAGTCTAATCTATCTGACCAACTATACTATGATCTTCATTTTCATCTTTCATTTTCGTTAATTATTCCCACTTGATAGCAGCACAGTCCAAACTGACTGTAACAGTACATACTGAACTACTGTACTGTTACAACTACTTCGCCTGCTTACTGGTACAAGCATTCAACTGCTGAGTAGTTGTGCTCTGTTGCTTTGTGACTCCCTCGTGACATGTTTGCTTTGTTTCTTAAAATGTTTAGTGTCCCGTAGGCTACTTTTATGTCTGTAGAGATAGATCATCTGTGGCTTTGAAATAAAATTAGTCACAACAAAATACTGGAGTTTACATGCAGTTTTCAAACATGGTTAACCTGCTCAAAACTACTACGAGAAACAGCGTTACCTGCAGGGGGCTTGTATCATATGGGGTCCAAATGAGAATTTAGTTTGAACAATGTCCAACAACTTTTCATTTGTTTGTTCTGTGTGTCAAAATGGGCACAGTGTAAAGCCCAGTGGCGGGCTGTGCATTTTATACCTGGGCCTTCTGTGCTGTCCTACTGAGCTACGGTTATTTGTTTCTATTGGTGTAATAATACACATATTGGTATTAAACCGTTTGGTACGAGGCTTATGAACCGAACAATACGTTTGATTAATACTAGTGCATTTGGAAAATGCAGAAGCTTAAATTGTGGGAAATATAATGTTTTCGGTGGACTGCGCTCATGTAACAGACAACGGGATGTGTGACCTTTTGAACCCGGAACAATAACAAAAAACAGCTGAGGCCCCGCGTGTGTTCAGGGAGGCTAAGCTAATTTAGCGGGGAAACAGCAGTTAGCTGTTCCCTACTGATTCAAACAGAGAATCAAATGTCCGAAATAACCCCTCGATGATGGGATGCTTAGTCATTAACGGACAAGTCAGAATCAATTAACACAATGACAAGAACCAGTCACATAAAATGTCAAGCATGACAAATCAATCCAGCAACACAGCAGCACTAGAGCGTGAGCCATTCATATTATTCATAAAAACGACACGATGGACAAATGAACAGTTACTGCAGATGTAAAAAAACAAACGCAGTTTGTCACTTACCGAATGCTGTTCTCTTAATCCTCCTGTCTTTGTTGACAAAGAGTTTAATCCCAGTATGTCGTTTCAGTTCCAGTAAGAAGTCTTTCTCATTCATGGACGAATCAAGCGAAAGCCGGCCGGCGCGCAGTGTCAACTTCCACTATTATATGCATAGTCCATCCATTCAGTATCTTTAACCTCTTATCCTGTTCAGGGTTGCGGCGGGGCTGGAGCCGATCCCAGCTGACATTAGGCAAACACAGGGTTCACCCTGGACAAGTCACCAGACTATGCAGGGCTGACACAAAGAGACAGACAACCGTTCACACTAAAATGTCACACCTATGGGCAAATTAGAGATATCAGTTAACCTAAGCTACATCTCTTTGGACTGTGGGAGGAAGCCGGAGAGAACCCACAATGTCACGGGGAGAACATGCAAACTCCACACAGAGGGGCCGTCGAGCCCAGGAATCGAACCCAGGCCCCTCTTGCTGTGAGGTGACAGTGCTAGACAATACATGCCCCTATATGCATAGCGTTTTTTGAAAATAAACTTGGATCAGGAAATATCAGCTGAACATCTGTAGACTGACAGTTCAAACTTACTCAATCTAACCACTCGATCTTCATTAGTCTATTATTGAAGGTAAGAAGAATATCAATATCACAGGTGATTCCAAACTTTTGAAAAGTATTATATTAAAAAACAACTGACAATGTGTGTAGAGTGATGGACCTCAGTGATGTGACCCCTGAAACATGAGTTTCAGACGCTTGATTGACAGGTGTTACCAAAGGGGGACGTGTGATTTTTTTCACTTTAAGCTCAAAAATCACACTTAATATCACACCTTTCTTCTGCTGACGTTTTGAATGATGCTGGACAGTTCATGCAAGCACGTGGTTACACACCACACACTAGACTGACAGACACAGGCACACATGATGACACTTGGCTTTAAACATGTCAGAAACAAGATCAGTTGTGTGAAGTTGTTAAGGCTGCTCTGGATCAAAAGATGTAGACCTAATTTATGCAAAGATGTATTTGAGTCTGACGAGACACTGGAAATGTGTAAGGGGGGAGAGACGGGCAAATATCCTCAATCGAACCAGGGATGTGGCATAACATATGCTTCGTAAACCACTAGACCCTGCCCGAAAGTTTCTTTAAGTCTGGCAGACATCTTGAGAAATGTGTAAAATGGATATAAAATATTTCCATACGGAGCCATGGATTCAAATATTTCAATTTGTGTAAATATAGCTTCAATGACAGGCTGGAATAAGTTGATACAAGATATATACCATCAACTTATTTGGAATGAAATGACTTTAACAATCTATCTGAGAGGAAATCAAATTGGGAAACTGAATGTTAAGGGGTTTTAAGTGTCAACTTCTTAGGTGTAAGTTGTCAGAGGCTTTAAAACGTAACAATGTGTTTCCTTGCAACACACGAAGCTTGATAATACCTTTATGTGTTTATCTGGTGCTTTGTGGCAGAGATCCCATTTTAGGGCCACAGTCTTTCACTCACTGCAATATGCATTCAAGTATAAATGAATAATGTAGTATAATCTGGCCGTATGGTCAATAAAAGTCCCCGAAGACACAGTTATTGAGAACTGATCTTGTGAGACATGCGATTCGAAGTTTGTGCTGTTATGGTCCGGCTCTAGAACCATAGAAAATGTCACAAAAACTCAGGCAAGGAGCTAACCAAACAAATACTTTTAATGAACAAAAGGCCAGGACATTTCAAATGTGCAAAAAAAATGAGCATTCTCGTCGTGAGTGCCAGAAGGTTCAACTGCTGCCAGACGCTCCTTGCAGCACACCAGGTGTGTCAGAGGGGAAGAAGCCAGCCTTTCCTCCGGATGGGGCGTGTCTTATAAGGCGAAGGCAGTGGCCAGCTGCCTCCAATCTTCTTGATGTTGCTCTCCAACGATCCAGGACCCAGGGACACTGAAAGATATACAATCCCCGGCAGAGGCCCTGGGCCATCACAGTGCCCAACATCATAAACAGCTGTTCACGCAGCTCAATGATCACAATGAAAAGCTCCAGAGCAACTACTAAATGGACCTTGTGGTCAGATTGCTTTATTAAGTGCTGTTTCTGATGACAAGAACGAACTTTGAGCCTAACATTTTCAGCCGACATGGATGAGAGGTCCTTCAAGTGCTGAGGAAGAAAAGGAAATTTAAACATCTACAATGCCGCCTGCTGATGAAGATCATGTGAAGTGATCAAAAGCTCCAAAACAGCCACTGAAATAGACTTTATGGTGAGATTGTTCTGTGAAAAAAGGCAATCGCTGATAGTCTCTTTTGCCTTCAGTAATATTCATCATCAAATGATGAATATTACCAGGACATTCATGGCTTAATGCACGCCTAAAATATCTTCAAAGACTTGTTATCACCTTTACAGTGAGTAGGAGCCACGTATAGGATTGAGTTAATGGTAATTTGACATTACATGTTCATACTGGGAGCACACTGCAGCGAGGTGACAGAGGAAGTTGGCATTAGCACGCTTAATGGAAATGCTGTGTGCAGCTATTTTTGCATAATAATTGCCAGGTGTGGCGTAGATGTGCTTACAGTAAAAGCAACAGAACCAGATAAATGCATCTGCTGTAAATGTGTGTCACACATACACACATATGCACACACACACACACAGAAAGAGGGAGATAAAGAAAGAGAGAAGGCATGACTGAAAGGCAGTGAAGAGGAAAAACAACAACACAGATAGCTGCAGGCAGAGATGCCGCTGTATCCATTTTTGATGAATGGATGGCTTGCTACACACACATACACACACACACACAGTACTTTATTAATACTAATGGAAGGATGCTATTATAATAAAAGCATGTTGTGTCAGGTGATGGGCACAGTGTGAGGCTGAGGAGATGGAGACATAACACCCATGTAAACA